AAATAAGGAAAGTCCTGGCTAACTAAAGTTCAGTCCTGTTCTGGTGAGGTCACCTGCCAGTCACCTGACTCTGGGTTTCAACTCTGTAGTGTAAGGTGACAGCGCTCTGCAGCCGGCAGTTTGGGTGGTAACTACAGCTCTCACCTGAATTGTGCTTGTGAAAATTCCCAGACAGGGATTTGTTCCACCTCTGGGTCTCTCGCGAATGGCCTCCCCTCCATGCTAAACTTTGCATGGCAGCTACAATGACCTTGCAAAGAAGCCATGATCCCATGGTGCCCACTGAATGAAGTCTCCCAGTAGCCCCACGAGGCCTTTAAAGTTAAAATCACAGCACAGATCTTAGGCCAGACTGACTGACCCATGTGCATTTTCATCAGGACAGTCAGGAATGCTGGCACCAGCCCTGCAAAAGCATATGGCAAGCTCTGTACCACTCTTGAAAAGGCTGTGACTTTGAGCGGCTTCTGCACCTTTCCTGGCTCCCTTGTCTCCTCTGCAAAGGTTCGTGCTAGGTTGCTGCTGCTGTTCACCTAACTCATTCATGGCACTCAGATCTTTCTCCTCACTCTTCCCTGATCCTGGCACAGCCAGCCCCCTGGTTACTTAAGAACCAATGCCTGGTCTCCAGAGAACTCCCCACCCTTAACCACTTAGTTTTATTTTTGTTTATTTTTGAAAATTTCACACATGAGTAGTGTATTTACATCTTTCCCTCTCCCTCTTCCAGTTCCTCCCCTATCCCCATCCCCTCTCAAGTTTATGACCTCTTCTCTTATATTTTTTTGGTTGTTAGCCTAGCTTTTAACAGTTGAGCCATCTCTCTGGCCTCCTCTAATTATTAAAGAATTACATATATATGCATGTGTGCATGCATAAGCTACTGAGTCCATTTAGCGTTGCTTGCATGTACATGCTTAAGACTGACCACTTGGGACTGGCTAGCCATCCAGGGGCTTTGAACCTGGAGAACACTGACTCTTTCTCTCTCCGCAGCCATTGAATGCCTGTAGCTCTTCATCTGGGGCTGGGGCCTTGTGAAACTCCCACATTCAGCTCGACATATCAGCTGGTGCTGTCGCTTGTCTTATTTCTTTCACAGTCTCTATTAGTTTGTTCAGGCTGTTGAACAGTGCCCCACCAATTAGGCAGGCCGTAACACGGTGCACCACCAATCAATCAGGTGTGAAGGGCAGCCTCGCCTCCACACTCATTTTCCTTTAAGACCACAACCAAAGTAGGACCCTGTGATCCATGGGTCCTATTGCTTCATTAATCAGGAAAGAAGACACGGAAAGATGAAGATGAAGAAGAGGAGAGAGGCTGTGGATGGAGGGGAAGTATGAGATAGGAAGAAAAATGAAGAGAAGGAGGAGGGGGAGTAGTGTACAAACTGATCACATGACCGTTCAAAGGTATGATTAAGGGGAAGGTTTTATTGTAAATCTGTAGAGAACATCCAGAGGTGTCTGGAAGAGTCCAGAGCAGGGAGAGAAAGTAGCAGACTCAACATGGCGGAGTGGGCATGGGCTTGGGTGGTTGGAGCCAGAGGACCAAGAGCAGAAGACAAAAGAGAAGGAACAAAGCCAAAATAGCAGGGTTTTAAGGAGAAATGAAGAGCTAGGAGAGGGGCGCCAGGGAGCTGAGAAGTTCAGAATAAGGAACAGGAGGAGAAGAGCCAGCGTCAGCATGACTCTGAAATGTGTGGCTGGTACTTGTGATGCTGAGGGTGCATGGAGACCGCCATGTGTTTGATGATAGACTAATAGACACTACAGGTAGCCATTTGTCTCTTCTGCCAAGAAAAAGGAAGTGGCTCCTTCGGTAGAGGGATTGGTTTCACAAGTTCCCAAGGAATGCTGGTTTTTGTCTACTGGTCAGAATTTGGACCTGACAAGGAGGAAGGGCACAATATAGACACGAGGCTCCAGGAGGAAATTAAACCAGAAAGATTGTCCCCAAACTCTGTGAACCAACCTCCTGCATTTCACCTGACTCTCCTAATTAGTCAGTGTTTGCAAAGTCTTCAAGAATTGAGAAGCACAACATTATGTGATAAGTAGTATTAATTAAGAATGTTAGCTAGGTGTTGTGACACACACCTGTGGTCACAATATTCAGGACAAGAATGCACGAAAATCACCAACTTTAAGACCAGACACACTACCTAGCAAGTCCCTGATCCAAAGCTAATAATAGCTATGGATTACGTGGGCAGGGACTTCTGTGTGTAAATAGCCCAGGGTTCCCAGTGCAGCTCTCGGACTCAAGGTTGCGCATCCTTCCAAATTTCTTTCTTGAATCCTATAGAGCTTCTGACTGCTAGAGAAAGTAGCTTCAAGGCATACACAGTGGGGGGGGGGGGGGGCTACATCAGTGCTCTCCTACATCAGTCATCAACAAAGAAAATGCCTGCAGACTTGCCTCCCAGGCATTTTCTCCACTAAGGGTGCCTCTTCCCAGATGTCCCAATTTGTGTCCAGGTGACAAAAAAAAAAAAAAAAAAAACTACCCAGCGTATTAAGTGAAGACCTGATGTAGATACACCCACTCTCACCAGCCAGCTAGTGACGACCCATTGTGGGCATGCACACTCCCACCAGCCAGCTGTTAGAAGGGGCTAAGAGCGGCACAATCCCATGAACAGCATTGCCATGAGAAGCTCAGTCTCCCCAGATGGTGAACAAGCCCTGTTAAAATCCAAACGTATCAAATTACAACCCCCATTTCACTTACTCTAGAGTTGATTTACTGGAAGTTTCAATGTCTAGATATTTTAAGACCATCCAAAATACCCTGCATGCTGATACATCAGGCAGACTTTTAGGTTCAGTATTGAGGCTCAGATCACCATTGCCAAGATGCTTATATTCAAGAACCTCAAGTGAGATCTGCCAGAGATACATGCCACCATCCTGTGCCTTTCCACTGTTAGCCCCAGCCCACCCCCAGATGTCAGCGGAATTCCTCACTGTATAATCTGCCAAAGCAAGAAAGTGCACAAAACATTTTCTGTTTTATTTGAAAGCCACATTCAAAACAACTCCATACGTGGCATGACCCCTCTTAAGAATCAGGGATCGAATTTTGCATTCTATTGTTGTTGTTTTCACAAATGAGGATGTTGTGTTCACAAAGAATACGCCCAGCATTACACATCAAATCTTGACAGAGCCAAGTAAGAAGTACATAGGAGCTGAGGCGGCTGAGCGCTTCCTATGAGCCAGGTCTCATCCTCAGCTTCTTACATGCATGCACTGACCTGCCATCCCATTAACACCAAGAAGTCTTAGTTGCTGGAGCTGTTGGGTCAGAGCCTAGGCCCTGGCAGCCCTAGGAACTAGGTTCAGCAGCCTGTCCTCAATAGGAATGGTGGCTTGAATGAAAAATGTCCCTCATAGGCTCATGTATTTGAGCATTTGCTTCCCAGCTAGTGGTTCTATTGCGAGGATTGTAGAACTTTCAGGATGTGGAGCCTTGTTGGAGGAAGTACGTACATAGGCTCTGAGATTTTCTAGCTTCACCGTGCTCCTGTTCCCTCTCAGCTTCCTGTGTGTTATTGCAAGCACCGTTAGCCAGTTTTCTGCACCTGCGGCCATGCTTTCCCCACCTAATGCCATGTCATCCCCATCACAACAGACTCTACCCTGCTGTGGGATATTCTTTTACTCGGTGTGAATATGTGTCGCTGTGCTTTGCTTAATAAAGAAGCTGGCTGGGCAACAGCTGGGCAGGAAGAGATTGGACAGGAGAGCCATACTGAGAGAATGCTGGGAGGAAGAAAGGCAGAGTCAGAAGTCACAAGCAGACACAGAAAGAAGCAAGATGGGCATGCCTTGTGAGGAAAGATACCAAGTCATGTGGCAAAGCATAGACAAGAAATATGAGCTAGTTTAAATGTAAGAGTTAACTAGTAATAAGCCTGAGCTATTAGCCAAGCATTTGTAATTAGTATAAGCTCTGAGTGGTTATTTGGGAGCAGTTGGCAGGACAGGAAAATTCCACCTACATCACCCCTCTGGAACTGTGAGCCTTCATTCCTTGAGTTGCTTTCATCAGACTATTTGTCCCAATAACAGAAAACTTACCAACTACAGGGGACAAGTGAAAAAGACAAACAAGTAGCTAAAAACAAAGGGATAGCCGGGCGGTGGTGGCGCACGCCTTTAATCCCAGCACTCAGGAGGCAGAGGCAGGAGGATCTCTGTGAGTTCGAGACCAGCCTGGTCTACAAGAGCTAGTGCCAGGACAGGCTCCAAAGCCACAGAGAAACCCTGTCTCAAAAAACCAAAAAATAAATAAATAAATAAATATAAATAAATAAATAAATAAATACAAAGGGAGACGCATTCAGTGTGGCAACACTGGAAGAGAAACAAAAAGCTTGAAGCCCTCTTCCAAGTCCATGTTCAGGGTCCTCACATGAGCTATGGGTTTAACTAGAGGGCTATTTGAAGGTACGTATAGCGGAGCAGCCCTCATTAGTGATCCCAACACCAACATGCGGGTCACAGTCTCTCCTGCGAGGTGTCAGAACCGTATGGCATATCTTTCTAGGGAATGAACTCTCCCAGCTGGCACCAGGGCCCCAACATTTTCCTTCTCCCAGTATGAGATTCTTAAAGAAAATCTAATTTCTTGAAGTATGGTTGGAATTTGCAAAGAGAGGGAACACGCATCTTTTCAGAAGGTCTTCGTTCTGGTCAAGACTTTATTGGCCTGTGAACACCTAAGACTGAAGCACAGAGACTGGAAAAGGCTTACAGTGGATCTTATATTAAACCAGTCTCTGGGATGATTATGAGACACGGCACAAGCTTCAGACCGTGATGTGGGACTGGAAGGGAATTCAGAAGGGAGAACAGAGAGATGGAAAGTCCCCATGTTGTGAGCACAAAGAACATTCTCATTGCCCCTGTTCAGAGCATATGCCCAACGTGTCTCCAAGTCATGCTTTGCCTCCCACTACTCTTATCTTCTTTCTTGTCTTTCTTTTGCAGACGTTCATGCCCAAGTCAAGAAGGCTTTGGGTCCCACTGGGCCTTTCTTAAAAGGACACACACTCATTGCTCCATGAGTTCAAGGGTCATCCACTAAGACTTCTGTACTCATTACCATCGTCAAACCTTCACTGCAACAGTACCTTTCACGATGAGTGGTTTTCTGGCCTCCGTGGACCCCCGGCGGGTGCAGTGGGGGGCTGCCTGGTACGCAATGCACTCTCGGATCCTGCGCACCAAGCCAGTGGAGTCCATGCTAGAAGGAACCGGGACTACCACCGCGCATGGCACCAAGCTAGCCCAGGTGCTCACCACCGTGGACCTCATCTCTCTCGGAGTCGGCAGCTGCGTGGGCACTGGCATGTATGTGGTGTCTGGGCTGGTGGCCAAGGAAATGGCAGGACCTGGAGTGATTGTGTCCTTCATCATTGCTGCCGTTGCGTCCATACTGTCAGGTGAGTGTCTAGGAGGCAGGGTTGCTTGCTGACCTGTTTGCCACTCATTCCACTCTTACAGAGAATCGACTGCGACATTTGTTTATTTATGTGATGCAGGGGCACATGCCAGAGCCTGTGTGTGGTGGCCAGAAGACAATGTGTGGGAGTCGGTTCTCCCCTGCCACCAGATAGGTCCTGGGGATTGAACCCATGCCGACAGTATGATCAGTAAACGCCCTTCCGATGGAGCCACCTCCCCAGACTTCTGGAATAGTTAGTAATGAGCTGCCCAAAGGGACCGTGAAGTGGATTGTCTGCTTTTGTCGTCTCCAATGCTAGGTAGATAGAGTACTAGGTTTTGGCCTGATTGTAATAGCTTCCATTTTCTGTGGTTTTCAGTACAAGCAGCTATTGGTGCCCAGGCTTCTGGTCTCCCAGCTTCTATCTCTGATATGTTCTGGTTACTTTGTTTCTGCTTTAACACTTCCTTTCCTTGGAAGATGGGTTGGGTCTCCTAGTAGGAGAAGCAGAGTGCAGGGCCAGTATAAAATAAAGGAAAAGCTGTGCAGAGTAGCAAAAAACAAGTCAATTACTCTGACTTGACTGGCATTTGAGCTCAGGGGCAGCAGCCACACCAGGGGATCTAGGGCTGCTGAAGATCTACAACACTGCCCCCTGGCAACCTCAGGGAACCCATCCCCCACAGGGAGGTCAGCAGCCCCTCTCTCCCTTGACTCAGGGTCAAAAAGCTAATTCAAAAGCAGGATGCCAAGGCCTGCATGTTGGTGATTTGTGGACCGGCTCTCCTATTGCCTTTCTTCCTTCACTTCATTTTCTCGAGAGCTGCAGGCCAGAGCATCTTCCCAGAGTGCCAGAAGTAGGTCAACAAACAACTTGAAAAAAAAAAGAGAGAAAGAAGAAGAAAAAAGGGAGAGGAGAGCATCCTGATTCTTTGTGGCCACGGCAGAAAACGTGAGACTCTGCTGGGCGTGAGGAGGCAGATTGTATCAGTTGATGGCAGCAAGAGGTCTGGCTCTTTAACTGTTCCGGGACAGCAGTTCTAATGACATGCACAGCTCCACAAGAAAAGCCCGACGGTACCATACATCCTTATTAAATAGCAATATTTAGTCTCCATCCATGAAGGAGCAAGACAGTTGGCAAACAGCAAACCCAAAAGTATATTGGCATATTTCACCTAGACTCAAAAGTATGGTGGCACTTTTCAGTTAGTAAGGAGAGATTCATCGGAACTGAGTCTCACAGTCAAGGCGACCCATTCCCTTTCCTGGAATCACCCTTTCTTCTGCATGAAAATTCTAACAGACGCGGTTCGTGCAGACTAAAGGACTTCTGTTTCTTTAAAATGAAATGCGTTATTCACATGACTGGATCATCCAGCTACTTGAAACAAATAATGTGATTTCAATTCTTCCCAAATTTTATTGACAAAAATTATTTATCACAGATGTATGGCTCTGAAAGGAATATCATTATAGAATTGATTGGAGACAACAGAACAAGAACCAGGCATCGTGCTAGAGGGCTGTTCTGGTTTCTTCTATGTTGCTGTAATAAAATACCTTAACCAGAAGCAACTTAATGTGGAAAGGGGTTTATTTCAGCTCACAGCTCTAGGGCACAGTCCATCATCGTGGGCTAAGTCATAGCAACAGAATTTTGAAACAGCTGGCCATGGGCAGGAACAGGAAGAAGATAAGGCCTTCATGATCACTCCCCTGCTTCGTAGTGCTCAGCCCGACTTGTCTTTTCTAGTCTTCAACAGTTCAGAACTCCCATCAGGGGACTGGTGCACACCCACAGTGGCCTGGGTCTTCCCTGTCAAATAACCTAAAGACAATTCCCAGTAGACATGCCCACAAACCAACCCGATGTAGACAGTCTCTCATTACGACTCTTTCCCAAGTGGCACAGGGGCATAGGACAGACACCTAAGACCCCGACAGTTAATGAGTACCACACAGCTTTCCCTTAGGTCCCTGTCTAGTTGGGTACAGTTCCCAGGCTGAGATGAATCCTGTATGCGCGAATCATCATCCTTCCCATGCAATTGCATCCTGGGAGCCCATCCCCTGCCTCAATACTCACAGCACTGTGTCATATCTACTTCTTCATTAACGGAGAACTCTGAACTCAGCCAGCCAGTATGAAGCTGCGGCCAGTTTGCACTGGCCCTTTGCAGCCCTGATAGGTCACACCGCTTTCCACCATAGCGCGCAGTGACGTCACACCGCAGACCCAAAGTCCACTGCCGTGGGACTGCATTCTCGCTGCTGTCATGGGATTGGTTGCTTAGCATTTCCCAGCCTCCTCCTGGCCTGGCTCCACCGCAGACTCGGATGTCACTCGGCAGCTTGTCTTCACCACCGCACCAGGCGCCAGAATAGAAACCTGCCTCTCCCGGTCTCTCCAGATGGCCCCATCCACCGCATCTCTCCACACTCTCTGACTGAGTCATCCGACTGCTGAGACCAGCCAGGATCCTTCAGAGCCTCAGCCAGGGCCAAAACCAAAATCACTCATGCCAATATTGCCAGATCTGCAGTGGGTTTCTTCAGCCAGGTCTCGCACTGCTGTGCAGTTTGGTCACAAATGCCCCCTCCCCACAATCTCATTTCCCTGCCCTTGTTACCCCCATATCACTTAGAACTTAAGCAACCACCCCACTGCTCCATAACATTCACCCAATTTCTCTCCAGCTCTACCCTCGGGAATACTTGTTTCCCTTCTCCTCCCGGCCGCCATTAAAACTTGACTCAGCAGCATGAGGACACCCAGTCACTCCCTCCGTGTGTTTGTCTCCAGCATAGTTACTGCCTGGTGATAAGAGGATGTTAGAATGACAGGCTTTACCCTGTCCCACGCAGAGAGAAAAGAACAATGGGATTAAAGGGGTTTGCAAAGGAGAAGAAAACTGCCCTGAATGCCAGGGAGGCCGAGGTCGGGAACCCATGAGAGCGATGGTGTCCATGGTGGCTGGTTAGGTCAGGAGGGTGAATGTACACAGGTCTAAGGATGTCCCCAGATGAAGTGTCACAGGGAAGCCCATTCTTTTGTATGCTAACAAAAATTAGTAACCATAAACAGACAAGGGAAGGGGTAAGATCAGCAGAAACTGCCGATTTTGATGAAGTCGGGAAAAATCTGGAATAAAAGTACTAACAAATGAGGCTAGAGGTAGGAAGTGACACCAGAGAGGGAGGGTGCACAATATAGAATCTGAAGCAGTGTGTGGTCAGAGAGGCTGGGTTTCAGCTCGGAACCCGTTTAAGCTGCTAACTAGCTGAGAAACTTAAGGAGATCCCTGGAACGTCCCCACTCTGAAAATGTGTAAAAATGTCTTTATTGGAAAGTTACTGTGAGATCTAAATGAGATACCTACCAAGTACCTGGTACAATGCCTAGCACACTGCACTAAGTAACTTGTTCTCTGTTGGAGGCACCTGCAGTAAAACATGGGTTTGGGCTCACTGCATCTTTTCAAGCTATGTGTATCATATACACATACATACATGCTGGCAATTAGTTAAATATTATACTTTAGTGTGTGTGTGTGTGTGTGTGTGTGTGTACAGTTGCTGTATGCATATGTGTACAGTTGCTTATCTTACACTCTGGGAAGTCCAAAACCTCAGCACTGGCCCTAGTTGGTGCCCCCCTGACTACATCTCGGTCAAGGCCAGCCTAGGATACATGAAGCTATATATTCCAGATGCAAATCCTTCTCTAAGTGGGTAGTTTTGTTTTACAGAGGCAGGGTCCCATTATATGGTATTGATAGGCCTGGGACTCACTGTGTAAACCTGGCTGACCTCAAACTCAGAGGTCCGTCTGCCTTTGCCACCCAAATGCTAAAGTTACAAGCTGCCATGCCTGGCTTTAAGTGCGTAGCTTCATAAATGTTTTCTTATAGTTTGTGGCTCTTCCTTTAATTTCTGCTTATGTATATTTTAAAATACTGGTGCCCACAGTATGTGCCCTGAAATTCTAATTCAGCTGGGGCTGGATGGGGTGCCCTGGGCAGGTGTATCCTTACAATCCCCTAGGTGTCTGATGTACAACCAGGGTCAGGACCCACATGGAGAGGAAGCGTGCTAAGAAGAGCTCTGGATGACCAGCAGACTCTCAGGAAATTTTCTTACCTCGTAGCTCCATTCCCCAGGCTACAGAAGCCTCTGTGGAGCATGAGGGATTCTAAAGCTACTTTCTCTCCAACTTACCATGACCCACAGGTCCAGCGACTTCCCCAGCTCCACTCCAGTGTGTCCACTGCCCTCTGGCCTGTCCCAGGTGGTGGGCATTTTATCAGAGGAAACAGCTTGTACCCAACCTCTCCTCTTTTGTCCAGAGGCCTTATCTGCTCTTTAATAACTCCACAGGCTCTGTGCCCTGCCAAGCCTCCAAAGCCCCTTTCATATTATGTTTTTGATAAAGAAAACCATTTTTTCTTTCTTTCCCGATTCTTACCTACAGCTCTGTGGAGAGCGGGTGGAGGCAGGATGCCCTGTGCAGTTTCAAATGTACTTGACTGCAGATGAAACAAAGTCAAGTTATTATGCCCACAGTGTCTAGCCAGTCAAAGGCCCGAGAGAGGCCATGAGCCTCAGGAGGGGAAGGTTGTCAAACTTGATAGGTTTTTCCTCTAGGTTTATGTCGAGTTCTCTTTTAGTCTGATTAGAACTGAACTCACAGGGAAGGGGTAGGAAGAGGCTCTGTCAGTCAATCCAACACTAGACAAGTTGGCAAGGTTAGGCATCACTCTGTAGGCATGGAGCGGGTCAATGGCACAAGCAGATACATCCTTAGTCACGCAGTGGAGACAGGATGAACATAGAGCCAGATGTGCACATGATGGATGGGACGGACAAGAGATTATGGGGCTTGGGCTCTGACCGTGAAAGGCAAGATGAAGTCTAGAGCAGCGAAGGTCTGGCTGGGTGAAGGACGGTGAGGAAGACGAGCTCCCTCTAGCTGAGAAAGGGCATGTAATTGATGGA